AGGGGCAGGAGGAGGCACGCACACACCCGCGGCTCCCTTTCCCAGCTTTGCCCAGCCCTTACGGCTCTGGCGCGGCCCTGGCAGGATGAGCGGAGGGTCCGGCGGGGAGGTGCTCGCTGCCCGCCAGGGCCGCGCCAGAGCCGTAAGGGCTGGGCAAAGCTGGGAAAGTGAGCCGCGGGTGTGTGCGTGCCTCCTCCTGCCCCTCATTCCCAAATCTCGCCCGGGCTGGCGGGCGCTAACCTCGCTCGTTCTCCCCGCGTCGGGCTACGGGTGGTGGCTGTTTCCGCTGCGAGCGGCTCAGACCCGCTGCTGCTGCTCCGCAGCCGCCCGCCTGGCCTTTCTTTGAGGTGGAAGAGCTCGCCGGGCTGAAGGGAGCGGCGCGTCAGAGGCGCGCAGCGTAGGGAGGTCGGGGAGGAACGGAAGAGGCCCCGGGAAATTAGCCTCCCCACATGGGGTTGGGCTGCCCTCTCGGGCAGGGGAGGCTTTGTAAAATAATTCGCTTTACCTTCGAAAGCAAAGGGAAGACAGGAGCGCCTGAAGCCAAGTGTCTCCTCAGGGCTCTGGTTGCAGGGAGGAGCCCTGACTGGCCGCACGTGGCTGCGCCAAACGCCGCGGCAGCAAGGGAGAAGGGAAAGCAACGGTGGCCCGAACCCGAAGGTCTCCCGAATATCCAAGCTGTCGCCGCCCGCCCACCCATCCGAGGATGCAAGGGGGGAGAATTAAGTCACCCCCCGAAAAGACGTCCTAGACGTTTTTTCGGGGGTCAAAAAAAAAATAAGGCCCGGCCTTATTATGTGAGAAACACGGTAGAAACCAGGAAACTCTGAGTTCCACTCCTGCCTTGGGCACGAAAGCTACTGGGTGACTTTGGGCCAGTCCCCCCTCTCTCTCAACCCAACCTACCTCACAGGGTTGTTTTTATGAGGAAAATAAGAGGAGGGGGGAGCATTAGGTATGTTAAGAGCCGCAGTGGTGCAGTGGTGAGAGTGCGGTACTTCAGGCTCCTGCTGCCGCCTGCTGCCTGCCTGCCTCCAGTTTGGTAGTTTGAATCTCACTGGCTGAAGGTTGACTCAGTCTTCTGTCCTTCTGAGGTCAGTAAAATGAGGACCAAATTTTGGGGGGCAAGAGGCTGACTCTGTAAACCGCCTAGAGAGTCTGTAATGCACTGTATACTGTACATGAAATATGAGCCAGCAGAGTAACAGAATTGGAAGGGATCTTGGAGTCCTCTAGTTGAACCCTTGCTCAGGCAGGAAACCCTCCACCATTTCAGGCAAATGGCTGCCCAATCTCTTCTCCCCCTCAGAAACAAGGTCAGTGGTGGTGTTATCTATCAGCATCACGTCTGAGGTCAGAGTGCTCACCTGGGGCCACCTGGAAGAATGCGCGCACGCACACCCCCCCCCCTCATTCTAGTCATTCACCGAAGCCGCCAAAGCCGGTTCAGGTGGGCCTCTGTTGGAGTGAATAAACAATCCGGGCAACCTGTTTCACAGCTCGCTTTCTCCAGACTCCTCTGGAAGCCCAGAGCTGCTTTGCCTTCTCAAGGCCAGTCATGTTTGGGCAGCTTCCACCAGAAGTCAAAAGGTCTCCACAACGTTATTTCCATGTTCTTCCTTCCTTACTTCATAATAAAGTACTTGAGACTGAGAGGGAAATTGGAAACAATCCCATATTGAGGGAATTCTCCTGGAAAAAGAAAGTTCAGCAAAAATGAGCTTGTTAAAGATGAGCCTTTCCATTTTTCCGAGACCGTTCACTTCTTGCTGCCTCTTATCTTTCCAGTTAAAAAGTCTGAAATGCTTCAGTGATTCCAAATAAAGGAAGCAATGCAGGCTTAGTCAAATTTAGAGTGGGCGCAAAGAAAGATCTGCTAACATGGTAAATGTCATTTTTTCAAGAAATTTTTAAAAACAATTAAAAATAGCATGCTGGCTGTCAGGGCACAAACCCAACCTGCATGTTTACAAACCAAACAAGGCAATTAGCAAAGGGAGACTAAACCTTCTCCCAACTTTGCTGTTCGTCAACCATCTGTCAGAAAAGAGGGAACACGAGAACCAGCCTCTCCTGGAGGCACTGCAGCGTTCAATAATTCCCCAGCTGAAGGACCGGATCTGAAGAGGCCTCAAAAGCCAGTTGGAGACAAGCGTTGCATGAATCCTGTGCTCAGGACGCTGCAATGTTTTATTAAGAGGTGGAGGGAATGTTTATGGGATTTGCAGAAGATACAAAACTGAATACGACAGCAAAAATTATCCAGTCCAGCAAACTACATCTGGTTCACTGCTGAACTGCTCCTTCTCAGGAGGTTTTTCCTAACTTTCAACCAGAATAAAACTTGGCTTCAGTCTGGCTCTGGAGACTTCAACTGTTCCCAAGAAGCATGACCGCTTGGCCATCTCTCTACTTACTTGGATGGCCACCTCCTCTATAGGGCAGCTGCTCAGCATAAATCCATTTGAACTCCGTTCCTGTGGGGAGAAATTAGAAGCAAAATAGGAGTTTAGGATCTCTGTTGTCTGTTTCTGTTGCATGGTCTTCTCTTGGCAGCTGGGCCACCCTCATCCTTCTGCTTGCTTTTAATGATGATACAACCAGAAGGAATGAGGCTCCTTGTGAGCCTTCTGCATTTAGCCTTTCTACCTTTTTGCAGATATCTGCTATTTGCTAATATTCTTCCCTGGAATGACATTCATGCTTTATTTTCTATTAATGACCCTCTCAACAATTCACCCTGAGGTGCCATGTAGACCTGTTTCCTGAAGCTGTCCTTCCCTTTTCTTCTCCTTGCTGAAAAGGAACACAATTTTACTTCCAGGATCAGAGGCCCTGGGCTCTTTCTGTCCCGATAAGCCACTTAGTACTACTCTGGAGGTGGTTCTACTGAAATCTAGTGTTGGCCTTCAAGATTTCTTTCCTTTGCATCTTTCGGATGTCATAAGTAACAGGGGGAAGAGGGGTGAAATAGTTATGGGAAGTGAGCTGGAGGTTTGAGAGAATAAACTGTGTAAGTTGGGTGGGGGGGGAGTTTCTTGTTTGTGCTTCTTTCCTATGCTATGCGCAAGCGCACCTCTTTATCAAAATAGGCCAAGGTCAATGGACAGATGCCTCATCACCACCTGAAGAGGCCCACCTGACATTACATGCAACTTTTAATTGGATGGACACTTTGAACTATTGGGGGTGGGAACGTTGCCATCACTTTGTATATGTGATTTACACGCTCATTTTCTCAGATTCAGAATTCTTTTGTTGCTACCACTTGATTTCCACTGAAAGATATCTTTTCTCTAATTAACGGAGTCTAAGTGTTTCTTTCTTGGATTTTGAATGGAGCACCAGCTGACACCTAGTGTATACCTATGTTCCAAATACTTTTCTTTAGTACCTCAAACCCCCAAAAGATCTGACTTCTCCCTAAATTCCCATTCGTTTTATCTCTTCGGAAAGCTTTGCCATATTGGTTAAGTACCAATCCATTTATCTGGTCTTAAAATCTGGGAAATAAATCAGCAAGAGCGCTAAGAAATGGGAGGAGGGGAGGGGAAATCTTGCCATCTTGGCTGACTTAGAAACCTAACAGCTGTGTAAGGAGTTGGTATCCCACTGTGATCATGATGCTTGTCATCTGGAGGGCATTGCCCAGATTTCCTGCCAGTTTTTTAGTCCAGGCAGGCCACGATGACATTGATCTTGCTTATATTGTAACTCAAATACTCAGGTTCAAATCAACACACTTCCTTCACCTACAATGCCTCTTTCTCTCTTCCCACCCACCTTTTAAAAAGTAAGCTATTGTTCTGCCCAAGGCTTCCTGAAACACCAACAAACACATGTTAAATCCAAAACCCTTTTATTTTAGTTCAACGGCTGTGAATTATCATCATTCACAGCCCGTAATGAGTCTCAATCAGTTATAATTATAAAAATTATAAAGTTATAATTATAAAAAAAAACCATGGAAGTCTGCCAAAGTTCTTCCGGAGAAGTCTGATAAGAATGCACCTTTATCTTTCTTGAAGATAAAGCCAATGACTAAAGTCCCAAATAGTCTTTCAAAACCAAACAGAGCACAAATTAACCACGGAGCTTTCAGGTTCCAAACTGACCAGAGCAAACAATGTTGCTTCCTGCAAAGGTTCCTGTCCCTTTGCACTTCCTTTATATCTTATGGGAGGGCCAATCACCTCCAAGCCTTACTCCCGAGTCTCCCCTTTTGTCTTAACTGTTCTTGCCTTCTGGCAGCTCTGTGCATGTGCACACTGGGAACAGACTTCCCCTGTTCCTCTGCCTCACTGATGTCAGATTCTGGAGGCTCCGGAGTCAGCACATAACTCCCAGATGGCCCTGGCCCCATCTCTGTATTGGATGCAGGACCAATGTCCGAGTCCTCCCCAGACTCCCAGACTTGCCCATGTTCTTCCCCACTGTCTGATTCTGCTGCCATCTCCGCAGGCTGCCAGTGGACCAGAGCAGCTATGCTCTCAAATATTTCAATGTCACTCATGTATTTCATCCTGTCCGTTTTCAGAAATCCCTACTAAATTGTATTGGCCTCCCTGCATTGAGATATCCAGTTCTTCATGTTTGTTTCCCATGAACATGTTTTGGCATGGAAAGGCTGAAAATACTTCTCTGTATTCTCTGCTCATTATTGGGTTTCTCCATGTCTTGTGTACCACTTTAAGTCTTCTTCCTGTTCTTGGGATTGAAAAATGTTCCGGGCTCTCTTCTCCCACTAACACAACGTCCAGATTATAGCTCTCCAGCCAAGTCAGGTTTCAGTCACCCCCTTCCTTACTCTCATGAGCTGCGACCCATTGCTTGAGAGCAGGTTCATGGCACTGTGAGATGCCAGAATAGCTCAGATGCTCATTGCTCCGCTAGCTTCTCTAAACATGTCCCAGGAATGTACTATCTATATTCTCTGACAAACTGAGGGATGAATGTAAACTTGAAGTTCTCACCTATTGTGTGTGGTTGGAGTCTATAGGGCAACCATCAAATGGCTTCAGCCTCCAAGAGTCCGTCTTTCATGAGATCCTCTTCCACCCAAGTTTTCATTGGATCCAATCACTCTACTTTCCAACTATAGGGTGTGATTCCCAGAGCAACCATGAGGAAGTCAGCATGACATCATGTGGCAGATGTATCAAAACTGCTACATTTGATGCTTCTGAACTTTATCAGCTGCCCTGGGTGGTGCAACAGCATTCTTGAATTTTGTTTCCTCTGTATCTTGTTGCAGATTAAAATCCTTAATATTTGGTGTCAGCGGTAGCATCAACGATGGACAGAGGAGCATTTGGGGGTAGCATTTCTTCTGCTTTTTCACCAGAGCACCTCCCCTCCCCCCACCCCCAGGTCACTGCTGCAAACAGCAGGGCAGCCTGCCCAGTTCAATCGCTGCCATTGGCTGGGGGAGCTACTTTCTGCTCCTTTAGGAAGATTGAACTGAATTGTACTGGAATTGTTCAGCCTGCCCAGGCTGTGCTTCACCAAACTGGATGGTTGCCTGGAAGGCATCAGTTGCAAACAGCCTGATCCTGTCAGTACGGGAGTTAAAGTCTGATGAATAATCAGCAGTTTTTATACTGAGGAGGATGTCATAGGCTTCTCTTTGGCTGTTTGCAAAATCGTGCTGTCATCAGCAAACATGAGATCTGTGATGAATTCATCTTGTCCAAATCTGCCACAGGCTGACCAGCAAAGTCTTTACACATGGTTGCCTTGATCACACTATTGAGCAGCTAGAGAGATGAAAAGTAGGTTTTGCTTGTGTCGGTCCATGCGAGGAAGTCTTGGACATTTCGCCATAAGGACAGGAAGGACTGGTATCCCTGCCATGCCATGCCTGCTGCCTGAGAGGCTTCATAGCGTAGGCCAGTGGACACTACAAAGCCAACAAATATGGCTTTCCACACCAGGAGTATCCCTGAACCAATTATTCTAGGGCATTAGTCACAACATCCTCTTCCGGTAATGAAACTGGCCTGGAAACTGGCCTCTCAAGAGAGCTGCTATTTACTGAATCCTTAGTAGGTGACACAGTACCTTTCCCACAACTGGTAATAGGCTGGTGATTCTTAAACTCCTTCCTTCTGGGCTTACAGATACCCCCACTCCTAGAAGAATGAAATATTTTGAGGAATATTAAATATATATTTCCAAAGGGAGAAATGGAGAAACATGTTTTTAGAGGCAGGAAGCAACCCCCACTTTCCTTAATAGCCCACAGCAGATGTCAGCACTTAGGAGATAAACAGCTTATTGAAAGAAGACAAGTATCTTGATAGCTCTATTCATAAACAAATACCCTCACCAAAAAGCCAGAATAGGACAAAAGCTTTTAAGCCACAATAGGAATTACCCAACACCCTTTCAGAACACAAGGTCCTTAACTGCATCATCCTCAGAAACGTCAAGCAAACTTAGCTCAGACCTAGGATTTGTACTTTGCCTATAGAGCCAGCTATGACCCTTACATAACCTCTACATGCCTCCATGGGAGTCTGACAACAGCCAATAGAATACATGTTCTTGCAAAGGAACAGGAAGCTCAAGTGCAAAGCTCAAGAGGAGGTATAAAAACCTCCCACTCTCAACTCCATGTGGTCAGCTGCCCAGAACCACAAACCCATGTGGTTCTGCTTTATCAATAAGTGGTCCCTCTTTCCAATCAGCCTCCGGTCTCCATTTTGTCTCCAGTGCCTTTCTCCTGGCTTGCACCTGGACCTGGATATTTCTTCCCACATTCTGGATTGTCTCTCTTGAATTGAAACCAGAGGCTTTTCTTTGGGGACTGAGAGACAGGCAACTTGAAAAAAGTCACAGAACTTGTTTTTATAGATGACAACTGCAGCAAGATTCTTATACTGTAAAAAGGTTCAGGATCACCCCAAATGGAGGAATGGTTGGTGAAGATGATGGAACTTGCAGAGATGGCTAAATTAACCTCTTTGATTAGAGAAAAACCAGCATCTACATTTATGGCTGTCTGGAAACCCCTTCTAGGCTTTTTGCATGAAACAGAAAAAAATGCACTTAACTTGGAGTTTCGATAATTAGGAAAAAAAAGTAGACAATTAAAAAGCGAGCCTTTTATTGTATTTAGGAGATAACTTTCTAACCTTGCTTGAATTTGCTGCAAAGGAAATAGAAGTTTCTTCTTTCTATTTCTTTTATTTTTTCCTGCACTTTTGTCTTTTCTTCTTTGTTCTTTGTTCTCTGTTCTTTGTTCTTTCTTTGTTTTCTTTATTTTGTATTAGTTTGTATTAATTAAGTAATTGAAAAGAAAGTACAAGAAAAAGGGTTTTTCCCCGTTTCTTTCCTTCCTTCTGGGCTTACAGCCATTGCTCAAAAGGGTCAGCAACCAGTATCAAGATTCAAGGACAGACGTCACTAGGGACCTTTCTTCCTTCCTGCAGCAGTTTTAAAATAGTTCCCCTCCCCTTAGGTTGCCTCAAGAGCTTTTGCCTTTCACTTGGTGACCCCTACTCTTCAATGGCTACTTTGCAAAACACCTGGCCTCAACTGAATTGATGCATAAGATTTTTACTGTGATGCTTTAATAGCACAATAGTTATGATCATTGCCTTATAACACATAATGCTGGTTTGAAATCTGCCAGATCTCTTCTCTTCTCTTCTCTTCTCTTCTCTTCTCTTCTCTTCTCTTC